TGAAGAATTTAATTCAAAAAGTTAATGAAAACTGCAGCAACAACTAGGTCATGTAATGTGATGTCGACTCACATAACATTTTAGCCACCCATCTATGATGGTTAAACGCTTTGGTCATCATACAAGAAGCAGTTTGAGGCAGCAATAAAGGCAAATTCTTGGGAAGATTAGCATAAGAGCATTGGTAAAAGCCTTGCGAGGTGCAGCGCTAGAAATACTTGAAACCTTGTCTGAAGAAGATATAAGCAAATATAGTGCCTTAACTATTGTTCTAGAACTTCGATTTGAGGATGAACATCTAAAAAAGTTTTTGTAGCCCAATCAAAGACAAGAACACAGAAAGGTGGAGAATCTCTACAAGAATTCGCAGTAGATGTCGAAACAAGCATATTCTGTTTAGCATATTCACCATATTCATTTAGCACCACCGACTATTCAAGAGAGGTTTTCGACAGAAATTTTAATCAACGGTATTCGCGACGTTGAAGTTAAGAAGATGTTATAAGTACATATTTAGATGCCAGACAATCAGCTGATACTCTCATACGCGTTTTGGAAGTGTAGGACAAGAATATGCTATAAAATTAGCATAGCAGAACCAGAGAAAGAAGAAAACAACAAGAGGGAAAAGCTGTTGGAAAAATTGTTATAGCAAATAGCAGGGGCGGCTCATGACTTGAAAAGTTGATGAGGCAAAGAACAAAACGCTCCAAAATATAAATAAATCAAGATTACTTAAGTATTTTCTACTTAGTCAAATAAACACATTTGTAAACTCATTTAACTGTCCACCAAGAACCAACGTGAAGGTATAAGGAACTCTTGTAAGGAAAGGATGGGAATGACAACAAACAAAATTAAAATAAACTTTAAAGAAAACATATCGAAAAAAATCAAATACAACATAAAATAAATCTAATTTGATTTATAACAAAAAACAAAACGAAAAAAATATAAAACATAAATACTCTGGATTTATTTTAAATTTTTTTATAGATCAGTTATCGATTTACTCAAATCAGGAAACGGCTGTTTTAATTCCTTAACTACATACAAGTAGTTAAAAACGTATGTGAAAGTAGAAAAAACAGAACTGCCATTGTCATTTAACGTTAGTAGAGAAAAATTCCGATTTACTCGTAATCTTAAATAACGATTACCGAAATCAAATTATGACAAGCACAAAGCACTAACGCGACACACGCAAACGTAGGCACTTTTAAGACAAAATTCTGTTACCGAAATTTGGAATCAATTTATACACACACAGATTTGTGGAAAAACAATCAACGGCCTAATTTTGAATACTTCTGCAAATGCAGACTGCATTGTAATCGCACGTTCTCCGCGTGCAAATATTGTTGTCCATCTCTTTTGCAAGCACGGAAATGAGGCTAGCCTCAATTTTGTCTTTTTTCAACTCATACCGCTTATGAGTGTATTGCAGGTTGCTTGCCTATTAACGACATGATTTCTATATCGGCTGTAGAGGCAAGCTTGGAGCAGTGCTTGGAGTCTGCCTCATTCGCGTCACAAAATACATGTTGTGTCGAGTGTTTAAGTGCGCTGTTTAATTAAGGAAGAAACGAGTACCTACCGAGATAAAAATAAGAATATAATTTTCCATATTTATTTTTAAAATTTTAGAAAAAAAACACAAATTATTGGCGAAATGTGTGGATAAAAAATAATAAAAATCCTAATAAGGTGTAAAATTCATTGGTGAGGCACTGCCTCACCTGCCTCCAGGACAAGCCGCCCCTGGCAAATAGATGTCCTATTGCGAAGACGGGAGAATGAGGTGTTTTGTAAGAAAAGCGTAGAATGTTATAGGTGTGAGCGCCAGGGACATCTCAAACGTGATCGTGCTCGATCACCAGTTCCAAGAGGAGATGTAAAAGAGCCAGTACTGTGGGGAATGTGTCTACTGGTGAGAATAAGACAGTCCGCGAAGTGAAAATAAGAAGTTTCACCAGAGGTAGTAGTTCAACTATACAGGAGAAGATTAATGAAAATCCAGCAGTAATCACTATCAACTGTACGTAGAAGACACGTGAGAGCTGAAGATATAGAAACTATACTCGAAATGATCAGATTGAAAACTGTCACTGGAGAATTGACACCGACCAATTTTACTAAATAGGGCAACTCTACTAGTCTACTATTGTAGACTATTTTTAGGCTAGGGTCATCAATAGGTCTTCCAACTCTTCCGACAAACTGATTGTTCCAGTGGCGTTCGAAAGCGATTACCGGGTAATGGGCATAAGTATCAGTAAAATTTACTTGAGTTTTTATGTTGCTATTCTTACTTTTGTTTTTATTCCATAATTAAGTAAAAAATGACACGTTTTTACTACCTATGAACCCATTTTAAACGAAACGACATCGCCTCTGATCTTTCGTTGTTGACCGATTGCTACCTAGCTACGTATATATTAAAAGGTTCATAAATGACTGTTTCATGGAGCTCTTTTACCGGCAAATTTAACATTGGTACAATAAGGTACGCTCTCTCCTGTTATTCCATCCATCTAGCTGCCATATTCCACGGATTTGCGGAGGGGATCAAAAGGAGAAAGCACTGACTGTGAGCTATGTACGAAATTTGACCCGGCTGATTTTCTAGGCTTTTTTGCGGGACTACTAGAGGCACTGTGTGTAAAGACGGATCCACACAAGCAGATATACTACAGACTACAGATGACATTACAATCAGTAGGCATATTTACGTATAAATTGTGATAATTTGTATTGTAGTGAGATGAATCGGTAGAAGAATAATCTTGAACACAAAACATTATTAATACTTTATTAAATATTACAATTTTGAAAATTTATTACCACTATAATAATTTCCACAAAAGAGAAAGACGATCATCCAGTAGGAAAATGAGAAAAGTGCAATTTTAGTTTAATGAAAGTTTATAGTTGGTGATATTTTGATCTTCGAAAATTTATTCCCTGCAATTTTTTTCTCAGACTGAATAAAAATTTTGAATATTGACTACTAACCACTTCTGTTATAAATGTGTAAAATAATGCCTTTTGGACCCGAGTGGTATTCTCCGTCGAGAAAGTTTTTCAGTCATGCCCCAATGGGTCTATAGACCAAGAAACCCGAGATACAACGAAAGTTACGTTGGTTTATCCAAACGTACCGTACTGTTAATACGTGGGCGTGAATGTCGGTGGACAGACCTGGGATAATTCTGCATGTTCAGAAAAGATTAAACAGTTACGTTTATATTAGGATATTTGAAACCTTACCTTCTATGAGATTACATTACATTCCTAATAACAATTTCATCTTTTAACAAGACAATTGTCCCGTTCACACAGCCCACAGGGTAACAGGGTGGTTTCGGGTGCACAATATAAACGTTCTTGATTGTCGAAGTCCCGATTTAAACCCATTTGAAAATATGTGGGGTTTGTTGGTAAAAAAATATAAGGCACAAAGGGGAGCCTTGAAAATAGACGACAACTTTTGACTGCTATTAGAAGCATGGCTGTAACTACCAGCAGATTACCATCGAAATCTGTGCCTCTCCATGCCTAGAAGATTGGCAGAAGTTATCATAAGTTTATATTAAATGAATCTATGACAAAATATTAATTTTTTAAACCATTTTTTTTTATTTCGTCTGTTTCAAGATTGGTTTAATTAATTTATTAAAATTGTTATCATTTTTTACTTTTTGCGTTTAAATCAATATTTCATAAAAATTTACTGGACTGTTAAAATCATTTTATAAACCTGTTCATTTTAAAAAGCATAAGTGAGGCCAACAATTATTATTTTTGCGGAATCTGTCAAGCTCTGTTATTGTTATTAGTTTTGAACTTATAAGCAACTAAAAAAATATACTTATTTTATTAAACTCGCAAATGGGTGCAAGAATTTCGTTATTGTTAGTCATTGCGGCAATATCAAAAATAAAACACATTTATTTAAAAACATTAATAAAGACAATCAAAATAAAAGCTGAAGGGGTTGGTAAAGCAGGATAAGTTTGAAAACAACGCTCGGCAGGTGTAAATCCAAGAATAGGTTCCTCACTCGTGTGTCCATGATTGTAAAGTACCAATAATGTTTTTGCTCAATTTCATGAAAAGAACTCTTGTAATTTGTGCTAACTCACTGGTAAATTAACAAAACAGCAAGACGTTACTTCATTGTTTTTACCTGACGCTCCTTAGCTGTGTTTATCTTTTACATAATACTGCAAGAGCACGATGACAGAGAGCAGATATATACAGTACAAGAAAATCCGGCTTTTCTTGTTCTATGAGCAGTGAAACGCTAATAAACATAATGTAAATAATGTTTCTTTATATCGTGCAGATTTTAGGTAGGTTGCGTTATGAGCAATTCTTCTAACATTCACCGCCTCTTTCAGAGTGTGAAACTATTGTCAGGTTGATCGGTAATTTAAAAATCGGCGTTGGTAAAACTCAACAATTTATTTCTTAGTAACTCAAATGTACACGACTAATCACACAGCGATTGTGTACACAATAATTCCGACCGGAATGGATTTGACTAGACTTGCTGCTTCCATTGTCTGGACTTCACTGACTGCTCCCGACGGTAAACAGCCACGCGGTCCTTCTCGAAAGGTCACCGTCACCGCTTCTAGGCTTGTTCTGGAAAACCTCTCGTGACTTCGGCTTCCAGGCTTTTCTTTAGCTAACGCCGTCAGGTTATCGTCACCAACGATGAGTCACCCATCATCGTCGCACATACTAGAAAACCCACAGGCGTCGTACCATTTTGTAATAAATTAGCGTCAACACAAGTACTGCCCTGCTTGTATTTGGACAGTATTCTTAAATTCAACAGCAGTAGTCGGTCTGAATGGATATTTTTATTGATTCATTAGTAAAGTTTAATCATTAAGTTAAAAACTCCACCGTAAAAATATTTATTTAACTCTGTTTGGAGTAATATATTGCTTGAACAATAGACACAATAGTTAATAAATCATAATTTTTAGGAGACGCTCGAGTAAATCAAAACCCTCAACTGACCGTTCTTCAGATAATCCTCCTTCGAGAACATAACAGAATAGCTGACATTTTATCAAAACTTAATCCCCACTGGGACGATGAACGACTTTTCCAAGAGGCTCGCAGAATCAGCATAGCGGAACACCAGTTCATTTCTTACTACGAATGGCTGCCTATTTTCATAGGTGTGGAAAATTCTTTCAAAAATAAAATAATTTACAAAACCAATAGCTTCGTCGATGATTATGAAGAAGATGTAGATCCCACTGTTCTGAATGAACATGCTACCGCAGCTTTTAGATATTTCCACTCTTTAATTGCGGGCCACTTAGAGTAAATTTTAAATTCCAACTTTTATTTTATTTTCAAACAATTATTCATCTTGTAGTTTGGTAAATGAGCATCGTAGTAGTTATGGAAACTTGAGACTAAGTGACTGGTTCAATCGACCTGCTATTTTAGAAGAAGGTGATAATTTTGATGAATTAACTAGAGGTTTAGCTACTCAACCAGAACTGGGGTCAGATCCTTACCATGATAGTGAAGTAAGATTCAACTACCGTGAAATTTGCAAGTTATTGTATCTAATGTTGTAGATTACACAATTTTTGTTTAGGAACGGTCAACCGTTTGGATCAGATTTGAAGGCCTTTGATATACAAAGAAACAGAGATCATGGACTTGCCTCATACAATGACTACAGAGCTTACTGCGGACTGCCGAAGGCATTCAAATTTGAAGACTTTTTAGATGTGATGACCATGGATGTAAGCTGGAGTGTGTTAGTGTTATTATTATTGTAATGGTTACATTGTAATTCCTAGAGCGTACAAAAACTGCAGACATTATACGAAAACCCTGACGATATCGATCTAACCGTTGGCGGTTCCTTGGAAGCTCATGTTCCAGGAACTCTTTCCGGCCCGACTTTTCTTTGTATTTTAACAGAGCAATTCTACAGAACACGAGTAGGAGACAGATTTTGGTTCGAAAATAAATTAGATGGGTTCACTTTAGGTAAAACAAAAGCTGGCAATGGGAATCAGATACTAAACATTAATTTTTCATAGAACAATTGAATGCAATTCGCCGAACAAGTATCTCGAGGTTATTATGTGATAATGGAAATCACATCGAGTCCATGCAACTGAGAGGCTTCGAAAGAATATCACACGAGTAAGTTTTTATGTAATTTTATGATGAATAGTATTTAATTATTAGTGACAGATGAGTGTGAACTTGTATTTGCGTAATTTTTTAGTAATCCTGTGACTCCATGTGAAGCACTGCCATTTGTGGATCTTTCACTTTGGAAGGAGATTTCAGACACAGGAGTTCCAATTGATCGTCCATATGATTATACCCCAGATTTATCTCATGACTTTTATTTAAAAAAATAATATAAGAGCACTACAAAGAGGACTACGAAGGATTTGAGAGTAGTTTTGCAAAATTTTTGTGGTCATGAACAGAGTACTGTGATGGATGAAATTCTCTAAACTGTAGTCAAATTTTAAGCAAATTGTTTATTATGCTTATTTTTTTTCATTTTTGTTGTGTGCCCTATGATTGTTAATTTTATTTATAAGACTATTTTTGTTGTGTTGTCAGAGTGTTTTCTTACCCCAAGCTCTGTGTTTTCTATTTTGAATTAATTTCACTTTTATATTTTAGTTATGTATAAGTTTTACTTATTTATATCAGTATTAATAAAATCTTTTATTTTATTATGTTTGGGTTTCATAGAATTCAAAGTGATTAAAGCGTATATCGTTACCTGAAAACGGTCACGGGCATGTATAAGGCAAATACGAGAAGATGAACAAATTGTTTGCATGGAGCAACAGTGTTAATAACTAATAACTTAATAAGTAGTTCATATTCAGGACCCGGGTGGGTTAGGTAGCTCCGTGCTTACCCGCTACACCTTGGGTCGTGGGTTCGATTCCCGCCCGGCTCTGGGTGTTGTGTATGTCCCCCGTTCCCCTGTAATTGGGCCACCGGCCTGTAGGGGAACGTAATCAAATAAAAAAAAAAAAAAAAAAAAAACGTTGAAATAACTAAAATCATTTTCTGTTGTGTTAATTTATTCATACATACCTACTTACATAAAATATTGACTAAAATTTTCTCCTCAGACTTAAGTATGTGTAACCTTGCAACAGATATACCTACGTTGGTAAATAAACCATAGTATTTACGACGGATTTAAAAGCATATTTGCTTTGGGTCTGTGTAAAAAAAACGTTAAGCTGGAATTATACTCAGCGGCGAGAAAAGTTCTGTCGAAATAACCTTCGACCAATTTTTTAAGCATGCTATATGTTCTTACTTTTTAAAATATGCCCGTAAGTATTATTTCAAAAATCGCGTATCAATTAACTTTTCTTAACTCTTCACTACGTTAGATACGAGGATTTCTGGAGTCCCAAAAAATAATAAAAAAAATTCTTTATGATGTAGATTCCGAAAAAAAAAGTAATTTTATAAAAGTAAAATTGGCAACACTCGAGGAGGGTAGAATAAGAACGGAGGGAGCATGTCGTATGTTTTGAATGGTACGGTTTTGGCCCAAAATCAACTACCGCAAACACCGCTTACGATCGGTCTGTCGACTGTGCGCATGTGCGAGCTGGCTACAAACCTCGAGAAAACCCCATCGTTTTACAGTTACTCTATAGGCGTACATCTCAGTTATTTTGTTCCATCACGTGCTGTGTATCTTTATACTTTGAGACGTTTTTTTTTTTAATAAATTCAACATAGTGAACTGCAAACTTTGTAAGTCGTGGAATGGAAGAAAACAGTCTGTGAAAGACAGACTTAGTTTTCATAAGTAAGTAATAAATGTATAACTTGAGTAACTCTGCCCCGCCACTGTTTAGCGTTACTCTCGAAACTCGTCACCTTAGAACTGGTTTGCCGCATATCCAGATCGCGTCCGAGGGATTTTCGCCTCTACTGTTTGGTGCAGATTTGCCGCATGTCGCACTTGGGCGAAGCGAAACATAGTTTAGATTCAGTGCTGATTTGCCGCATGCCCAAGCAGAAATCGATAGAGTACCGTTATCCGTTTTTACGTACTTCCTTGTTGTTTTGCTTTTCAGCGTTAGGTTTGGGGTTGGGAAAGAAATCGTATTCAACTTCACGCGCAGAACAATAAGAATAATGTGAAATAAATAAAAAAGAGACTTAACAATTTTGATGAATATGAAATTAAAAAAAAGCAACTGTAATTTGTGCAACTCTTTTTCTGTTATAGATGTTACAAATATTTTCAAATTATTAGATTCGAAATTTTACAAATTTAAATTTCAAATAGATTTGTTGTTCGATAAACAAATAATTTAATTTTTTACTAAACAGTAATATTTTTCTTTAATTTTTTCTCGGGAGTGATTGAACTTATTTTCTCTAAAGTTTTAGTGAACAAGATTTATAACGCTGCATACCAGTAAAAGAGTTCACAATTTTTTGTAGTCTTCTTATTTGTAGAAACGATATTTCTACATCAATAATCACAAATAATAGATACATTTTTAATTTTTTAGATTAAAATGTTGTAAAAGTAATATGAAAATTAAAATTTCTAAGCAAAATCTGTTTAGGTGGATTTTGCTTCGAAATTTATTACTGGAACGTTTACAAAAATCAGCTTTTGACATAAAATGCTTGCAAATTTGAAACAGAATTGGAATGTTTCTTGACAATCATGCCTAATACATTTTTGACTTGTATTTTTTAAAAAGAATTATTTCCGAATTTATAGCTATTTACAATTTACGACTTACTTCAAGAATAAATTCCGTATTAGAATTTTACCTATAATAACTAAATAGATGTATGTTGTTAACTTATATAAGGTACCTTACATCGAAACGAGTAATTTGTTTTTTAATATGACACTGCCTTTCTTTATCATTCTATTTGTCTAACAATTAATGTTGTGCAATTAATGTTGTGCAATTATACGCGTGTAAATAAAAATAACTTTACAATAACTTATTTAAGGGTAAATTTTTTTACCAATTAATTTAAGTGGATGGTTATATGTAATGGTAATAATAGCCGCATAAAATTCACTCACTGTTTAGGTATACCAGATATCAAAAGCTATTAAATCCAAATGTTATTGTTTATTTTTTTTTATGTCTCGAGCGTAAGCTAAGGAAGTATTGTAATCAAGTTCATCGGGCGACTGGCTACTTTTATGGCTTCTCAACGTTTCATGACTCCTATAATACGAAAACATAGGTCTCTCGTTTCCGGTTGATAAAACGCTGACCAACATTTGTAATCATCCTCCCCATCATATAACGTCATCTCCAACTTTTACAGCAATAAATGTTATATAATTTTAAAAAATAACATACTTTTTCATTTGTTGTTTATTGAGTTTTTACCCTAAGCACCCAGATTGAATTAAATTACCATAACCCTAATTTCTTGAGATTTTGGAACCAGGACATACTACATAAAGAAAGTTAAAAGAATTTGAAGTAATGTAATGATACTCCTTTTACATCAACATACTATTATTTATCAATTAATTGGACATCGTCCAAAATACTGTTCATAAATTATAAGTGCAGGAAGTTTATGCAAAAGCATGCAAATACATTTTTTGCGGATAATAATATGTATTGCTTTATTATTAAATATCTACTCATTTACAAGAATTATTAAAATTAGTAAAAAAAAGTATTCAAGTCTCTGTCTAGAATTATTAAAATTAGTAAAAAAAAGTATTCAAGTCTCTGTCTAGTTTAATACCTTACCTTATTAAAATAATAAGTTTAATCAATTATGTAGTTAGCACACAATGACGTTTAATTTATACTTAGTAGGGTTCACGGCATTAACTTTTCACATTGCATGTTTAATTCGGAGTTATAATTTGAGAATATAACTTACCCGTTTATTTATTTTTGTAGTTTAGTAGTACTTCAGCAAATTTAGAAAACTGTATGTTATTTAAAAATACGTGACAAATCACGAGGCCAGGCAATCTAGAGATTTGACTGCTGGTTTGCGCGGGAAATACTGCATACTTTTTAGATAAAAGGAGTCTATGATAAGCGCACGTAGGAGATGATAGACAGAGAGCTAATATATAGAGCTAATGTATTGAAAAGAAATAGGATAGGTTTACGTGCGCACACCACAGCCTCCCTTTCTTCTCTAAACAGTTTGGGATCATACCATAGTATCATAAATAATAATTGACAAAGAGTTCGCAAAGGAATCCAACGGAAATATTTATACAATTGTTTGCAACTACCAGTACAAATAATTCTTTCATTTTCAACTGAAAAGCGTATAACTATAATATTAAGTACTAGATATTATGGAGTTAGGGGTAATCAAATAGATTTGGTTGCAGTCAACATAATTGTCACTGATACATAAGACATGGAAACGAATGATTTATTTCCAAATCCAAATATACTGCATTTACAGTTTTAAACAGTATCACTGCTAATTTTCTCTGGTTGCCCGACAATAGCTACTTGTAGTCAATATCCACGTAATGTAATAAAATACTGGAATGTAATTGTTTGAGACAACAACCTATTTTTACCCGAGTGTTCTTTATGAATTTGAATATTTTATATAAAAAAATTACATATTAAGCTGCAATTTTAGTAGGACTGCAGCGAGTCAACGAGCCGCCATTACTCCGCCAATGCAAAGAAAATATCATTTTATTATCCTTTGTAAAAATAATTTCTTTCTGTAAAACACATTTAAATTTGGTACTCCGTATTTCGTTCACAATTCACCATTTAACAATGGAAATTAACAATGCAATATTTGGATTCTACAATTTTTAGGTAAAATGAATGACTGCAATGAGTTTTATCAAATGTAGATTTTATATAAAAATAAAGAAAAATAAGTCTCTTTATTTTAAAAATATTTAGAAAAAATCGAATCAAAACATCAATAACTTAACATTCATTGTTCGTTATACTTAGTTAACTACTTCATCACGCGATTTCTAATATCGTTTCAATTTTTCATTTATTTCACATTATTAATCCTTGCCGTATTACTTGTTCTGCGCGTGAAGTTGATTAACAAATCTTAATCTTAATTATCTCTGAAAAATGTATCTATTATTATCTGTAATTATTATTGATGTGGAAATATCATTTCCACAAATAAGAATACAGGTATGCAGCATTATGAATTTTGTTGACTAAAATTTTAGAGAAAATAAGTTCAATCATTTCCGAGAAATCATTAAATAAAAATGTTACTCTTAAGTAAAAAATTAAATTATTTGTTTACTAGCAACAAATCTATTTGAAATTTAAATTTGTAAAATTTCGAATCTAATAATTTGAAACTCAATCTTTCTTAAAAAAAAAAATCGAAAATATTTGTAACATCTATAACAACAGAAAAAAAGTTGCACAAATTACAGTTGCTTTTTTTTAATTTCAGACTCATCAAAATTGTTAAGTCTCTTTTTTATTTATTTCACATTATTCTTATTGTTCTGCGCGTGAAGTTGAATACGATTTCTTTCCCAACCCCAAACCTAACGCTGAAAAGCAAAACAGCAAGGAAGTAGGTACGTAAAAACGGATAACGGTACTGTATCGATTTCTGCTTGGACATGCGG